CCACTTTGATATCAGACACCTGGTCTTCACAACTGTGAGACAGCTCATTTCTGTCACTCTAAGCTACCCAGTTTTTGGTACTTTGGGCAGCCATAGGAAATTAATTCAAGCTATAACAGGTGTATGGTGTTGGGAGCAGGGGTGAATTTCTTTTAATATCCATTTCAGCAAACGTATTAGTACCATCTCGGTTTATAGACTTTTTGTGCCTATTCTGCTGTTTGTGTTGGAACACATACCATTCAGTATATTTTTCTATTGATTATGAGACATCTGGTTTCAAACATGAGGTTTTATCACTTACTATCTGTATAATTAATTAACCTCACTGATTTTCAGTTCTCTGATATTAGTAACACTTGATCTAGCATGCATGGGTTTATTTGTGAGAATCAAATGAAATATCATAAGTGAAAAACAGTATAGAGGCACCTAGAAGAGAATGTAGTACACAGATTAAGATCTGGGATCCTGGAGCCGGGGTCGAATGAGTTCACATTCTACCCCTCCCTTTACAAGTTCTGTGTTTGAACTGTGCACTCAGTTTCATCATTTAATAATGAGATTATTATTATCTTAAAGTCATGAAGATCAAATGAATAAATACAAGAGTTCTTAGAAGATTATCTGACATATGACGTGTACTCAATAAATGGTGTCTAAGAGAAGTATCTTGAAAACTATAAAGACTCATACATGTTAGATTATAATTTATACTTGGTAAATAGCTCATCGATGAATGCACTTACACAATAACTCTGACTTTCTAGCTCAACATGCATTTTAGCGGCAGTATTTTGGATGGTTAAAAGAGCTAAAGGGGGACAATCCAGAATGAAGACTGTTATCAAGTAGATCAGCTTTGCCCAGTGAATTAGAAGAACCTTAGAACTAAAGGCTATTTCTCCTATTCATTAGTCTTAATATTGTAGAGCCAAACTTTTTGTTGAGCATCTCATTAACTGCTCTAATATGTAGATAAAAATAGAAGAGTTTAAGTAGATTTTTCTTAGCTGTGCAAAAATGGGAATTCATTTTTAAAGAACTGCTTTTAAAAGTTTCTAATAAAATCTGTTCGCATATATTTGCATTGAGATACATTGTCTATACATCACTACCCTTAGCTGATAGTAAATAAAAAATAACATCTTTCTCACTTTTCTATATACATCAGGGAGAGTTTTGGGGATCAAATAAAAGGCTATCATTGGAGAGCACCACTTCATGTGTGGCTGCCCTTACAGAGGAGAAAGAAGCTTTTTAGCAAACACCTTCTATTAGTTTACTCGTAGGAAATAGAAACAGCTGAGACTTTTAAAAAATGAATTATATTATCACATTTATTCGATTTCATACAACTTACCCAGGAAGTATATATTTGGAGGACAGATTGTCTCAGTGCTGTGGATAAGTTATAGTCTTCAGAACTGTGGTGTGTTTGGTGTCCAGCCCACATAATATTAACCTCTGCAAAACACATAATTTGAAATGAGCCATGAGAATAAGAACAAAGTAACTTCCATTTTCAGTTATATATACTGCTCTGTTGAGTGACAAAGAAAATCTGGAACATCTCTGAAAAAGCTAGCTAATATAATTATAATTAAAATAAGCTGCCTCAAATTACTTTTGGAAGCAGGGAGGGTATAAATTAAGAACAAATAAAAAAATTGAAACATAGCCAATAAATATGTATAGTGTATATGATATAATTAAATGCCTCCAGCAAACTGAAATGACTCCCAAAATTTACACTTTGCTAACATATTACAATATGACAGATCATAAAGTTTAACTGGTAATGTTGTAACAATATAGTCAATGGATAGTGATGATTTTTCAGTATGTGATAACACATTTCTAATTAAAGAAGAATACTCTGGTGGGAGAAATTGTGCATAAATTTTGGAATAAAATATTATATAATATTCTTTCCTGATGGCTTTTTAAGACGTTTCAAAATCTGTCTATTGAAATAAGAGGCAAAGCAGAGTAATATTTGACCCTAAGACTTAAAATTCCTTTTTTATTTATGGAAATATATTAGCTAATAGTTACGTATTCTTCTGTTTATGCCTTACCAAAGTACAATACCACTTCTAAAATTATCCCACATAATTGTTGTTTGTCCTCATAATAAAAAAGGAAATGCAAGTTGTTTACTGTCATCAAGCATACAAATTGCCCTCATAATGCTTTGCAATTCTTATACACCCCAAAAGGATAATTGCTTGTTTTTCTTCTGTACTACAAACATGCAACTGTAATGACCCCCCCGAAGTAGATGGCATAGAAGAGAACAAGCCAACATTTTTCATTTGATCACATTGATCATATTTTTAATTTTCTATAAGAATTACATATAAAAATGACACATTACATTATATTCAACTTAAAAAATTATGTTCTTAGCTAAACTAATTTATATTCAGTCCTTTGCTATGAATACAAGAGAAAGAAGTAACTATGTGATATTTCTGCCAGTATAGATTAGAAATTAAATCTTTTAGGCTTGTATTCATGGTAACTGAACAGTGAACCAGAGAGTGAAAATTTGGGATTATTGGTTTTTGCGGTTGCCACATATTAAAAGTTAAAATACATGGCACATGGCAGATAATTTGTCCGAGGGTTTTGTAAAAATCATGGCTATATATAATTTATATATTTTTTATGTATTCAATTTGGGTGGACTTCTCAGTCATTCATTTAGAAAATAAAAGCTCTCTGGACAGTCTGTGTAGGGAGTTACCAGATGAAATTTGCAAAAGAGTTTTGGTAAACAAATGATAGCTCAGAGATATAAGAAGGACTTAATTCTGTGAGAATGAGATTAGGAACAGGATTATGCATAGATAGAAGTCATTTCTACTAAAGTCATGTGTTTTCAAGTGTGACAAGTATTTTCATAATCAATTTATATGTAACTTAGATTCCAATTGGTTGACATTTGAATCATATCTGGTAATGACCATGTATTTCTACTCAAGCAATGAAGAATATTCTTCTTATACAAATGAGAATGACTTCACCATAATGACCTCTAACTTCCCAGGTATAATCCTTGAAATAACCTATAACTAAAATCTCTGCTTTATTGACTAGCCTATATAGCTATGAATAAGAGATATACAAAGAATCCTGTGGCACTTAATATCTTCAGATGTTGTGTGCAAGTTTATTAAGAGGTAATAAATTTGATAAATCTCCTGACTTCTAAAACTTCTTACAGATTCAACCCGTGAAACACTCTAAACACCATTTCTTTCTATAACACACTCATCATTGAATATTTCAGAACCTGTTACTTATAAACTTCATTACACATAAAAACATTGTCCATTTTATTGACCCTTTTAAAATTTGTTTAAAAAATTCATCACGATGTATCCATGTTACGGATTCACAAGGGGATAAGCTAATCAGATGAGGTTAAATTAGAGGGTAATAATATATTGGAACTACTTCCTTATAACCTCCACAGAAGCTAAATGGCGGAACAAAGAATCCACAAAGGTGGAGGTCAAAGACCTGTCTCTTTAGCTGTTTTAAAAGCATTTACTTCCTATCACAAACTGTGTGTAACACAAGCCGTCATTCAATGAAGTACAGCTGTGTAAACAGGGTAGAGTAACTGGATCGTACTGCCTTACCGCTGTCACTTTTCAGAATTAGGAAAAACAAGAATACAGGATTTTTTTTTTTTTGCAGTTCATATTCAGTTTATTTAAAGTAAATAGCTTTTAAAATTGGTTATAAAATATAACTTATGAAAAATTATTCCAATAGTTTTTTGTAAACAAAACGAGAAACAGTTAATAGTGCATTTACAAATATGTTCGTCTTCTCTAACACTTGAATTTATGAATTATCTGTTCCAAGGAATAAAAATAAATATTATAGCGAAAAAATATTATCACAGTAAACTTATTCCTATGAAACGATATTAATATAAGTCGTAGTCAATAATAATTTTCTTATAAGCAAATGATTGATTATACAAGCATATGATATGTTATAGCTTTTTAATGACATAATTAGAAAGATTACACTTCTTTCCAGTGCCAAAATGTAGATTTGTATAAATATATTTTATTAATGCATTGACCAATTTGTTTGGCCAAAATTTAATGTATTATATATGTTTGTGTATATATTACATTCTTATGTTTAATTTTTTCTATTTTTAAAAAAATTAAGTTATAACTTACAGTTAAATATATCCCTTTTAGTATTCAGTTCTATGAGTTTTACCTAACAATCACTGTCACAATCAAGATACAAAACAGTTTTGATCACCCCAAAACGCTCCCCATTCCACTTTGTGTTGGTGGCAGGCTGACTCTAACATAACTCCTTGATTTAGATGATGAGATTCTGGACTTTGAACTGACAATGAAATGGGATGAAATTCCTGGGACTTTGAAAGAGGTAAGTATGTTTTGAATGTGGGAGAAATATAAATCATCGAGATCCAGAGGGCTGTCTATGAGAAGCAGCCTCTAAAAAGGTCTCCAATAATTCCTTTCTACTGCTGTTCATTCCCTTGTATAATCCCTCCCCTCGAGTGTGAGCTAGACACAATTATCCCCTTCTAGTGAGTATAATTTTGGCAAAGCCTGTAGGATGTCACTCCTGTTATTAGCTTATAAAAAGACAGTGGCTTATGTCTTGGGTGCACTCCTCTTGTACTCTCAGAAGCTTTGTCTGAGGAAAGTCAGCTGCCGCGTAGTGAGCTATGTTTTGGAGAAACACATCTGGCAGGGAACTAGGAGGGCCTCAAACTAACCATCTAGCAAGGAACTAAACTCCTTAATCCAAACTCCACAAGGAGCTGAATCCTTCCAACAATTGTGTAAGTGAGTTTGGAAGCAGATCCTCCTCTAGTTGAGCCTTCAGATAACACTGCAGTCAGCAGACGGCTTACCTGCTCAACTACAACCTCATGAAAGCCAGAAGCATTCATGTAAGCTGTGCCCAGATTTCTGACCCACAGAAACTCTGAGAGAAGCCACTAGTATGTTACAAAGCAGTAGATAATATGGTGGTCAATCCCCCTCAACCTCATTCTCAGTCCCTAGCATCCTCTGATTTGGCTTCTTTCCTATAGTTTTGCCTTTTTAAGAATGTCTTATAAATGAATTATATGGTTTTTTAGCCTTTTGTGTCTGGTTTCCTTCACTCAGCATAATGTATTACAGAATATTCCATTTTGCTGAATTTTTGCTCCGTTTTTTGCTCAGTGTTACGTTTCTGTGAATGTACTGCATTTTTTTGTTTTGTTTTGTCCATTGATCAGTTAAAGAACACTTCAGTTGTTCCAGTTTGGGGCAATTACAAATAAAAAAGTCTATAATAAGCATTCTAATACAATTTTCCGTGAACATAAGTTTTTATTTCACTTGGGTACTGATTGCTGAATTGTGCAGTATGTTAACATTTAGATGGTTAAGAACTGCTTTCTAAAGTGACTGTGCCTTTTTACATTGCCACCAGCAGTGTATGAGAGTTAAATTTGCTCCACATCTCTGGCAGCACTTGATATTTTTATTTATATTTATATTTACTTATTTGATAGCATTCTAATAGGAATGTAATGGTATCACATTGAAATTTTATAAATGCATTGCCATAACGGCTAATGACAATGATTATCTCTCCATATGCTAATGTGCCACCTGTGTCTTCGAACTGTCTATTCATAATTTGTGCCCACATTTTAATTGGATTATTTTTTATTATTGAGATTTGCATACAAATCCTTTATTAAATGTTATTTATTAATATTTTCTCCTAATCTGTGGCTTGATTTTTTATTTTTTAACAGTATTATATGAAGAACAAAAGTTTAAATTTTGATGTAATTCAATTTATATACTTGAGAATTTGTTAAAAAAATTTAGTACTTATAACAAAGAACAGGAGATATTTTGGAGAAATGTTTTTAGAATGAGAAATTTGTAAGCATCTAGAACCTAGAAAAGTCTATATGTATTATACATCTAAAATATAACTAAATAAGTCTCTTGTCTTATATCTTGTCACCTACAGAATGGAGAGAAATAACCCCTTCGGTTAATGTGAGACATAAGCACAAGTCTATAATGGATTTTTACAGCTATATGATATCTATTTAATCTTTAATCTTTAATAGGCCAGGAAGTTTGGGGCACCATTGGGTACCTTCACTTATAATTTGGAAAACCCACAAGTTATGAAGGAAAAAATGTTACAGGCATATTTGCAAAACATTAACGATGCTTGACGCCAAGAAAGGCATGTTAGAAACACTTTATGCAACATTTAGCATATTGCGTGGTGACTGTGGAACATGAGAACTCTTAAGAAGCTTGTGGAGTTATTGTTCGAATTTTTAATTTTATAAGTAATTAAAGTGAAATTAAGAGAGGAAAGGGAAAAAGAGTTTCATTAAAGAAGAGAAAGCTTTTTATTCTTTCAGCAATAAT